GATGATAAGTTATCCATGTGTCTGTGTACTTGGAGGCTGATCTGTATCCTGGTAGCTTCCATTGCCAAGTGTGAGCACGAGCATTCGTGTCATTATCCCCTTGTTGTTTAACACAAAGTACTGATAATTGCTGGAGCTATTTTAGGTTTGACTCTACCTGTGTCTGATTCATCCGTAGCTGCTTAAAAAAAAGCTGGACCTATTTCAGAATTTTCTTTCTTTTTCTCACAGAGCAAAGCCTGCTGCTTAAAGTGATAGATCATCTATGTTTTCTGCCTTAATCGCCAGTGTTTTGTCTCGGTTATTGGCACGCATGTGAGTGCCTCAATCATACATGTACTGTATACTATGCGCACACACTGGGTGCTGAAGACTTTCAGAGGCTCAGGCCTCTCCCATCAGTAAAGGTGAAACAGCTGACTGCTTGGGTATTTGGCCCCTTGGCACTGTTCGGCCTAGCCTGCACTCAGTCTTATAATGTAGACAACTAAAAAAAAAAATCATTGTTTTAAACTGTTACTTAACCAATGCTTGCGCTAAAAATAAGTCATGATCTCAGACAAGCCTAATTAGGATTATTGTGCTATTGATGTTAATTAGGAGGCGTGATAACAGTAATTCATAAAGGACTAAACCTGCTGTAGGTGAAGAATTGTTCAGTACAAATGTGAAAAAAAGTTCTTTGACGCTTTTGAAAGGTTAGGATACAGCCTTTTGTTTTCTCTTGCTTTTTGGCGTTTTGTGCCATGATCAAAGTACTCCAGGGAAACTCAAATCAGCAAAAGACATTGCAAAACGACTGCTTCTCAAACATGTGCAAGCACACTGCCTTTTAGCAACAAAATACGTTTTTAATTTAAGTAGTACTGTATGGTTTCCCCTGTATGCCTCACTAGAGTATTGTGGCTGGAATAGCTTGGATTGTAAAAATGACACAACGGGAGACAAAGGGCTTGACAGAGTAGAAACCTAGTAGATATTTCCAAAGTTTGTTAAATAATTGCAGTAAGTTGGTCCTCTTAGCTCTGCTGAAAAGGCAAACTTGTGCATAAAAGTGCTGGACGGGGGGAAAAAAACAAAAACTGTTGCTCCAGCTCAGCTCTTCGACTTTTAAGCGTCTTCAATCATTTTCGGTTTCTCATGCAAACGTTCTTGTGCTTGAGACTTGGCCAGCAGTTTTGAGCTTCTCTCTATTTGGAATAAATTACTGATCAGAAAGTCGCTCTCGTGGATGAGATTAATGGCGGTTGTTGTGGGCCACGCACACTTCCTTTGTGTTGTTTGAGGAAAGCAGGCTTCGCTTTCCTGATAAATCGCAGTCCATTGAGATAGATCATGGTTAGAGGGGGGGGGGGGGGGGGTGGTTGTGGCGAAGAAAAGGATGAAACATTTATTATACAAAATGCTGAAGCTGGGAGGCGGGAGCAGATCTGCAATTACACTCCAGCGGGACGAAATTGATGAGCTGTGATATCAGGGGTGTTTTAAATTAAAGCACAGGGCGTAGGCAGCATTAAATATTTGTAAATGAAAATGGAGGATGTTTTGGTTAATGAAGTGCTGGTTTATTAAACAGTTCTTCCATTAGCTTTAAGTGCGTGTAAGATTTTATTGCCGTCTATAAAGCATGTTCAATCTTAACATTTCTTAATGATGAAGGCGGATCTCTGCAGGTGTTCTCCGACCAGTTAGGCTTTCTGGATAATTTAATTAAGGGGCTAGGGTTCTGGGCGCTGTTTCTTATTTACTGTGTACCGGTTTGTTTTACATTTTCATAAACCGAGATGATGGTGGGAATAAACAGTACGAAATACCCTCCTAATCACCCCTCCCCTCTCCACTGGATGTAGAAACCTACAATGTGCCTACACCTTAGCAGGCACGTTCTAGTGTCAAGAACAAAGGTCTCCGAAACAAGAATCAGACAACTACAAGAGGCTTCCCGTATAATGAGGACTTAACCTTATCTGCTGCAGGTCTACAGCTTCCACTCTCCCTGGCCTGGCACTATAGATCTAGGCAGGAGAAAATTCCATGTAAACAATATCAAGGCAGGACATGATCCACACATGTTGGGAAAGGAATCTTGAGGCTCCTCGCACCTTCTATATCATTTTATAGCAAACTTTATAGGACTAGAAATAAATAAGGTGTAACAGATCCCTTTATTAGCCATATACAATTTCTTGCATTAGGAATTTGTCATCATAAAGTGCTGGGCATGCCCCATAGGAAAGAGCAGAATTCAATGGGCACACAAAGTACTAGGCACTGCTGTTTAGACCCTAGAGCGATCCAGAACCCTCTGTAAACACCCCTAGTGGATCATGAGATGTTTAGGATTTTTGGAGGCAAAATGTTTTGGCCAAAGTGGTGTCGTAGTCTGTAAGTCCCTAGTCCAAATACTGACAGCTGCTAAAGGTTTGTATGAAGCCTGTAATAGAAAAGGAAACCTAGACAGGCTGAGCCAATATCTTTGTTTTGCCCTTGAAGTCCAGCAGGTTATTCATTGTGTATGTAGGCAGATTCACATAACGGATGCCCAAGGCACACATTACAGAAAGAGCAGCCTGGTATTGAGCTTGTAAGTCCTAAACGAGACCATCCTCATTAAAGATAATTATCCTTATCTAGTCTATCTAGACCAGATTTGAGTGTCTAAGGTATAAATTAAATGTAATGGCACATACGGGAGACCAGACTTTTTTTAAAATTGGACACCTAAATGTAGGAATGATGGCTTTAAACTAACAAGATAATGATCACAAAACAAAGGAACAGAAATAAATTTTAGTATGACAGAGCTTGTCCCTCTGCAGACTTTTTTTGCTGCAGAATAGAGAAGGTAATGCACAGTTGCTTCCCTTTTCATATGAATTTAGAAAGTATATTATGCAGTTTTACCCCAATACCCCAAAGGGGGAGAAAGAAGCATCATAGAACTAAGGTTAAAAGTCAGGAAGAACATTTGTTTTTATAATGTGAGCTTGAAAAGAATCAGGAAATTGAATCCTTCTGTACAAGTGTCTACCTTTGTAAAAATTGTATTTAAGTTGTTAGCTGGAAAGACATGTAAGGAAGAGTGAATCTCAATACCAAGGTGTTTGAAGTGTTTGACCAGCAGCACTGGGAGTGGGCTAATTTTCTGCTTTGCACATGTGAATAGTAGTAAGGCAGACCTGGAATAATTCTTTTTATACCCTTCTAGAGCACTGCCATTCTCAACAATAGCTAATGGGGCATTGACTGGGACACGTTCTTGCATACGCAGTTTATCACCACCATATGCTCTGAGTGTTTGCCATGTTGACTATTGTTAACAGAAACAGTAGATTGATGGAGAGGCCTCCTGCCTAGATCTATAGTGCCTATTGATCCCAAGATACAAAAGCAAACTAAAAGATAAAAGAAGGACATCCCTTATGAGCTTGTGTAAAAACAGCAAACTGGGATATGTTCTTATTGCCTGTTTTCTGAAGGATTAACACCTCAATGAAAGCTAATCCTAAACTCCTGTGATCTAGAACTGACCATAGATATTCCCGTTCAAGACAGTCAAGAGCCTTCTTGATTTCTAATCAAAGAACAACCCAGGGGAAGATAGTGTCTGTGAAGGAGACAATGAACTTTGTCTTGTGCAAGATATCCCTTAATAAACTCTTGATTGCGGTGTACTAATATGGTCATTTTAGGCTTATAGCTGGTATAATGGCACCATCTTATAGGGCTTGTCATCAGGGTAGAATAGAGAGATGGGATGATAGTTTACAGCTGAGTAAAGGCACATTAGTTTCCTTTCAATGATAGGAACATGACGACAGTATTAATATCTCTCCAAAATCAACTGAATTGTTTGCCAGTTTGTATCATTTCAAGTAGAAGACGTAATTGGTGCCAGAAAGTTGCTTAAAATTCAGGAGGGATGCCATCAACACCAGATTAATTAGCCTGTTTTATATCCTGAACCACCACCTTGAGCTCAGACAGATATACAGTAGGTACCTCCAGGATGCTGCCTCTTCAGATGAATATATCAAGATATATTAAGAGATTGGGGAAGCATACATTTCTACCTGCCAGGATTTTGGAAAAATAAAGGTTAAAAATGGACTACCCATCTAAAGTTGTATTTTAGGTGAGCAATCGCAATTAGCACATTAGTATTATTTCCACCAAATGTCTTTTTTTTTGCTTGACTTATAAACCCTCCTTGTGTGTTTCCAAGTTTTATCATGGGTTAGAATAACTGGCTTTGCCAGCAGGCTCTGTTTTCTCATAGGGGCTGTGCTGTATGCATTGAGGCCTTGTGTTTCGTCAGCAACACTAACACACAGATAGGGACAGAGCACCCCAGAACAGCTGCTCTCCTGTCAGCCTAATTGCAGAGTCAGTATTAAAGTGAATAGGTATGGATTCCATTATTTAAGCAGGGACCAATACAGTGTGGGACCTGCTTTTAATGATAGGCATGTGCTGAGCAGCGTTGCAGACAATGCACGGTAAGAGGCTGTGAGAGAACACACTATGTTGGGCTCCTTGGATCTCCTCTATGGTGTTCTGATTCACAAGGTAAAGATCACAGGGGAGGCTCTGGGGGGGATCACTACACTGTAAATTTTTTTCATTGTCGGGACAAACTTGTGAAGAAGGCACTGGACTGATAAATGCCTGCTACCCTACACGTGTTAGCTGTTTTGGAGGATGGGCATATTTTGAAGGAAGTATTTAAAAAGGGGAGAAAATTTCATGATCTGTACCCTGTATTTGTTTTGCCACCTAGTGTCATTGCATGTAAGGGCACATTTCATATAGAGATAATCAAATTAGTACTTTATTGTACTTAGTACCTTTCTCTACCTGCAAGGGCCTGGTGATTTGATGGCAGACTGTGCCAGTGGTGACTAGAGTGATCGGGTTTCGCTAGTTATTACTGGGGCAGGGAGTCCTCTTATCGTTGTATGCATTTTTCCTTTATGTTTCCTCCTCTTGTGTTTTGACAGCTGATCGCCTTGTACGAGGAGCAGGAGGCCCAGCGGGAAGCAGGGAGCCCTCATGTCAGCGTTTCGGGGAGACCCAGCCCAGACCCTTACGAGAACGAGCTGGCGGCCCAGCTCTCCGTCTTCCAGCCGGTCAGCGGAGAGATAGAAGTCAATTCTTCGGCGCTCAAATCAAGTACGTTCTGTCACTCGGTAACCACATACTTGTGGCCTTGGATTTTACTAAATGAAAATGCGATGAAGTTTTATCACTAGCCAGTTGGTTGGAAATTTCATCATTACAAAGTCTTAGTTTAATAAGAGCTCTTTGATCATGTCAGTACAGCTAAAGGCATTTATCAGTTCTTTTAATGCTGTCGTGCTCATCTTTTTTATTGCCTTGCTATTGTGTAGAAAATGCTGTTGAGCCCTGTTTGCAGTTTGCAGGGTTGCAGTTTTTTTTGCACTTTTTTACCATTTATTTGCTCAATCAAATAAAAATATTCATAGTGATTGGACCTTGAATCAGATGTGACTTTAACTGGCTTTGGAATAGAACTGTACTGGTCAACAGTTCCAGTAGATCAATATTAAATGGTGAGCTTAAGCTGTAGTGAAAACTAGACGAGCCTGTAGGCCCCTTGAAACTGAGTGTGACACCTTATCCTGCCCTTTCTTTTTGCTATATTTTAATCATCTCGAGAAAGGCCCACCTGTCTTTGCATTTCATGTTAAAGACTATACAAAGTTGAGGTTGTCACGGTGGAAAATATCAAACATCACCCTGCGTATTGGTTCAGGAAACCTGCGAGGACAACATTTAATAACCTTAGAAAACCTCTCTGAATTTGGTTAGAACCGCAGATTTTCCAAACTGAAGTCACCCTGGTTGAGCAGAAGTTTCACTGAGGGCTTTTTTCATCCACTCATATTAACTTTAAGGTTTGCGTGTAAAATGGGTGCTTTCGTGGTCACTTGCTGTTTACTGACGTGGCTACACAAATTCAAAACGACATCCCTCCAAACCACACACACTCCCTTCCTCTTTCTGAGTAGCAGAGCTCTGTCTTGCACTTGAGCTCCAAGTGCCCTGTTTATTGAAGATGCCAACAGCATGAATATTGTATGAGTACGGGAAAAGATATACAGTACAGTGTCAACAAACAGCCAGCACTAGGCCCTGTTAGTAAATAAGGATCTGAAAGGAAAGTGATCTGCTGGAGCTGTTTACAAGACTCGCTGCTCCACTTCCTTTACTGTAACTGTGCTTTCACTGGAAGCAATTCCACAAGCAACATTTCACATATTCGTTTTTTTTTTTTCTGGTGCTTTGATGCTTGATGTCTGCTCAACATCTCAGCAGGTTCCTCAAAATGAATGTATGGAATGACTGATGCAACTGTCATTTTTGCCAGTATTGTGGTTGAATGACTGAATCTTTACCGAACCAGAATGAGCTCAGCATCTTCCTAAGTGGTAGCTGTACAGCACCACAACTGGTTTTAATTGTCTCCGTCGTAAAAGTCTAAAAAAAAAAACATAAACACACTTTTCTCAGAAGCTGACGTCATCGCGACTCCTCTAAAGGCTGATGCGGTGTTGGTTTCCACTGTGTCTTGTCTTTCTCCTAAGGCGAGAAAGAGCGATCTATCTTGAAATGCAGTAAGAGAAAGTGAAGGCTGTGGCATAACAAAGTTTAGGATGAATTGATCTCACCTTGTGTCAGGATAATCTAAAATTTCATTTTCGCTTAGATCACGCGGTAGGTGTTCTTAACTGTTCTCTTTCAGCACGGATCTCAAATATGTAATTGAGCCACATGATGACATTTCAGAATGTGCTGCACAGCCAGGAATGCAGCAGGAATGAGTCTTGTATATTGCTTCCCGGCTAGAGAACTTTCTCTAGATTCACCCTGACAGCCAGGGAGAATTTCATACTGCTGCCCTAGGGAACTAGTTTATTGGACTATTTCTACTAGTTGGGAGCATTATAGCTCTGTGGGTCAGTCTCTGGAATCACGACGGGCAGGTTGTGGGTTCAATCCCATCTGCAGATGCTTCATTTGTGCCTTGGTGTACCTTGACTGAGCTGCTTTACCCAAATTGCTGGAATCCACCCAGTTTTACGAATGAGGACCAGCTTTTGCTGGGAGCAGGCCCTGAAAGGGACTGGTGTCCACTCATGGGTGGGAGTCATCTGTTACCTATTGGCGTAAAGCTATGGAAACCAGAATAATCTCTGGACTGATGGTCCGATCTGGAGTGAATATGGAAATGCTCTTCCTTCTTGTATTAGTAGAAAACGAGTGTGGGTACAGCTACTGCTGTTCTTGCTGCTAGAGCTGCTGTTGCTGTACTACATAGAAGAAGTCGTTTTTAAATGTGATTTATTTTTAGGTCGTGGCGTGGTGCCCTTTGGACTGGCAGGTCCAATCGAGACTAAGAACGCCAAGAGTCCCAAAGCATGACGAATGGAAGCTAAATAAAGCAGTACCAGCAACGTCAGGAAACAAAGTGAAGGACAGTTCAGAAATACCATTACCCAGCACAGATGATGGAGAGTAGCTTCAGATAAAAGAATAAAAGGATTGAGATGAGTTCTAAAACAGACCCATTGTTACTGACTTTTTGGTTAGAGAATGAAACCACATGGCCCTGCCATTAGACAAGAAAAAATGCTTTCATGACTTGAGTAGCCCAAGTAATGTTACATATCAATGTGGATATACAGTATATATATATCAGTATTTGCTAAAAAGAGCTGAGCGCAATTCAAGGGGGCTTTATCTTGATTATCCACAAGACTCTGCACCAAGCAGATTGTGTAGTTTTATTTTTTGTTCTGCATATGCATTTCTGATGGTCATTCTATGATTTTATTTAATATACAATACTAAAATCCTGCAACATTTAGTTTTGTTTCCCCCACTCTGCCAAAGCTTGCATCTATAGGTGCTTAAATCTCAAATACTGCTTGGTAGACCATCGAGAGATGATTAGATATCTTAAATTAAAAGTGTGCAACATTAAGGGGACCACTCCATCATCCCCCAGCTTTTCAGGTCTTCTGTCAGTTTCAAATTGCTGATTGATAGCTCTTTAAATTAGCATCTTGCAGCATGGAAACCCAAATTCATGCCCTGGAGCATTTCTTGTGTTTCTTATAAATAATCAAAAGCTTGCCGAGAATGATTCAGTTCAACCACTGCCAGTGAGATCTCATTAGCCCCTTTCTTGTATTCAACATACAAAGCAGGTAGATGGAACCTCTGTGAAATCATTTGAATCAAAGGATACATTTAAAATGAACCCATAATCCACTGAAATATCGGGAGACCATGTTGGTCCGAGTGAGCATTCAGCATAATTAAAAAAAAGACATTACAGGGAAGCGTCATGTACAGTAGTAGCTTTTGACGTACTTTCAGTGTGTATGTTTAACGATGTGCAAATGACAAAACCTTCACATGACAGCGTCTAAAACATGACAAATGTTTATTTTTGTGTTTGAAGCTGATGTGCATAATCATTGTACAAATCAGCCTTATCACCTGAAAACGGAATAACTGGTTCAATATTACTCTGGTCGGAACAACTTTCCAGTTTTGTGACTGGCCCTTTATGTACTGTAGTAATGTGTTCTGTTAAATTTTGCACTGAGCAATAAATCAAGTGCCTTGATCTTGTGCATACTTGTGCTTTGAAGTATTGTCACTTCCAATAAATGGAGAATGCATAAAATAAAAGTATATGACCCCAAATCTTGGTGACCCCACGCTGTTCTATAAAGAAAAAGACACTGGCAAACATTGTGTTGATCATTAAAGAAAAGACTCAAAAATGTAAAGGCCCGAGATTGGGCAGTACAGCATATAACTGGTCCAACATACAAATGTACCCAGATTAAAAAGTATTTTAAACTAGAAAACAATGTCCATGGAATTAAATAGGCATGGAACAAAACACTTGAAGAATTACAAAGTGGGTTGAACGTAATTGAACTTAATGGGTGTGAGACATTGAAAAATAGGGTGTAGTACAGTACAGTAATTCAGTAAAATACAGCTTTGTAGCAAATTGACCAGACCTGTTCATTGGGGGGTGCTACTGATATGAATCTAATTAGTGACCCAGAATTCAAGGAGGACAAGATGGGATTTGACCAGTGGGCAAACAAGTACTTTCTCACATTTGCTTCTTTAAGAGCTAAGACATTTTGAGCATAGCTGTCAGTGATACAGGAGGAAATGAAGCAGTGGCTAAGCACTCTGTTATGCATGAAATATTAATCAGAGAAGTGCATTTTGCATGATAAAGATTTTTTTGTCCTGTTCCCTTTTATTAAGCATCTTCTTTTGTCATTAAGTTTAAGAAATTGAAATTGGCTACATAGGGGTTACTTAATTCATTATGCTGTAAACCAGATTTGATTAACAATGATCTGCTGCTGTAGTAGGGAAATGGACATGGCCTGTACAAAGTGAATTAAGGGCCAGGTGTCTAATGGCTTTTTTTCAGCAGGGAGCATACTGTATACATGTTTTTGAGCAATTTCTATATAGGTTTCAGATCTGCGCTATTTGACATGTAGCTGTGTTGAAGTTTAGAAAGTATAATAAAATCATGAGATAAAGTATGAAATAAAACAACAATCAAAAACTTTGGTAAAGAATAGAACTGGAAAAAAAACAACAGATTTTTTGCAGGCATGTTCTTATGTCCATGTCCTTTGCAGGCTCTGTTTTTATCCTGAGCTTTTCCGTGTCTTTGAACATATGTCTTTAATTTGTCTTAAGATTTTTTTTTCAGGCACTAGGAAACAGTTTCAGAGCTCCTTATTCATGGGTGTATTAGATGTAGAAAACATCTGTCCATTTTTCTTCTATGTCCAAGATGAAGTATGTGTATGAACTGGAAACACGCATTGATGTTTCAGTCAAGATGAAACTGAGAGTAATTGTTTTGGGGACTTTTGAACTTTTTTAATTCCGTTTGTTTTCTTTACACCATTTCATGACCTCACTCTCTATTTTGCTTTGGAAAAGGGATCTTTTGCATGAGCTTAGTCACTTTTTTTTCTCAGGTTCATATTTCTTAATTTAAACATCAAGCTGGAAGTGTCGGTTTCCAAAATAAACCTTCCCTTTTAATTGGCGGTGGCGGTAAATAAGCTGTTTGTCATGTTGGTTTTTGC